ATAAGTGACAATTCTCATTCTAGTAGAGTGACTTGTGGATGTCTTCCCCATGAGTTCATATTCCATAATGGGCCACTGCTTATATCTATAATAGAATTTCCAGTTTGAATTTCAATTTAGGTAGGTTATTCAAAGAGGGTTCCATTAGTAAAACTAATAGAGCACTAAGGATTGACATTGTAGGAGGAGAGCTAGTCTTGTTAGTCTATGTTAGCCAAAAGTCAGGATGAGTCTGGTAGCCAACTCAAGGATATTTACATTTCCTTTTGTACCACTATCTGAATGGGCCTTACTAGCCTTACTCCATGCTATATATCTTCTATTCCATGCTCTCCCAGGATCTTTGACTTGGGTTATTGTAGATGATGTGAAATCTGGGCAAGAACGGTACAACTTCCATAATATACAGGGCAGCAGTTCAGTTTTTTTTCTTGGAAAATCTTTGCACCAATTGTTCTGAGATTTTCCATTTCTACTGGTGGAGAACAACACAAAATGCAGCATACTCAGCCAATACTTGTTACGGTCACCCAGCTTTTATTTGTTGTATTATTCCTGCAGGTTGTTGATATTGCAAGAAGGTGAGTGTCAGAGCCCACTAGGGGCAGAATGCGAGCAATCAGCTTAGATGTCCAGGGCAAGGCGCTTTTCAAGCCAGTAATAATCAGTGCTAAATAAACATAGTCCAGGGCAGGCACAAGTCTAGTTCCAAAAGCAACAACTAAAAGGGAGGGTTGCTTCATCCAAGGCAAGTGGTCTAGTCCCAAGAGGAATTAGCTTGTAATTTGGCAAAATCCCCATACAACAAAATGAGGTCAGGCTAAAGTCTTGTCATATGATTCTGCCTTTTATAAAGAAGGGGAGCTGGATTGATCCTTGAAGCTTGATTTGCAGCCAGTTAGCACCCATCAAAGTCTGCAAATCGAATAACTGCCAACGTGGTTCTAGTGGTATAAGAGAATGCATTAGAGTTCGGCTATTGTGGGCTCTCCTTCAACATGCATCCTATGCCTATACTTTATATCATTTGTGAAAGAGAATGGCAGATTTAAACAACTTTTAATACTCTTTTATGTATGAATGCACACATAGCTTAAATTGAGATAAAGCAGGCACTGCTAGAAAGCAGCTGCTCCACTACTTTCTATTACATCCATGCCTAGATGGCAGCCCTCCATCCCTAAAGGGCCTCCTGCTAATTCACTGTTCTTCAAGCGTTCTGTCACTATCTCTGTCTATGCCGTAGTCCAAAGCTGCCATGTGTCCATATCTGCTGTGTGTCTATAGTAGGTAGTGTGTAGATGTATCAAGTTGCCCCACCTCTTCCACCCATCTTTCCTCTCTTTTTTTATCAGATAGTTTGCTTTGTTATTGCCTGATTATTCCAAATTTAAAGCTGTGTTAAAGCTACCATATATGGGCTGCAAAAAATTGGAGTATCACTGGCAGCCAAAAGATATAGAAACTTGCATTTCTTGCCATTTAGTGGTCATTTCCTGCCATTTAATAGATTTTTGCAGCTCATATATGGTAGTCGTGAGAGCTAGTGTGTGTTAGTGGTTAAGGCACTGGATTAGGAGCAGGGAGATCAGATTCAATTCCTCCCTTAGGCACAAAAACCAACTTGACCCTCAACCAGTCAGTGTCTCTCAGCCCCAAACCAGCATCAGGTTGAGGAACCAACTCTTCATCACATCATGCCTTGATGATACTGCTGTGTGAACTTGGCAACCACAGTGCAAACAAGTGGGACAAACAACTAAGAAAAAGAAGGATGTATAGGGTAGTCCTGAGTTCTGCTTGGTCTGCTACTTTGTCATGATCCAGTCTGCTAGCAATCATTATTCTTGCATCTTTCTTAGGAAAATATATACCTCAGCAAACACATCAACTTAGTTTGGAGGAATAGAAGTGGTGGTACACACAGGGGAAGATCGAAAGCCAGGTATTTCTGTTTAAAGTTGTGGGGTGGGCTGTGGTAGACATGGCTACACTATTTTGGATCATTAGACTTCCATGGAAGTCTCACTTGGCCTTTGCTGTTGAATACTGCTGATTGGGTAGCCCAGTCATTTATGGTTTAGCCATTGTGATTAACAAGTCATGACCTAATGCTATGTGTAAAGACAGCAGTGTCTTTTGAGGGAATGAATTGAATTATAGCTGGAGGGTAGATTAGACAATCCTTCTGAGGTTCTACAGCTCTGCGGAGGGTAAGAAAATATTTCTTAAACAGTTGCAGTTTCCAGCGATAGTGGAGGTTTGCTGTGTGCTCTTTTTCCTTTCCACTTTTACCGATTAGTGATATTATTGGCAGCTGGTAGGGGTGTTTTTCAGATGTTTGGCAGCTCTTTTGCATCCATTTGCATGCTTGCTCTTTTGTCCTTTCTTTCCCCTCGATAACTACTATTTCTGTCCATGGGTTTGGCATTAGAATTCATGATGCTGTGCCCGCTAATATTTGCTTTTGCATTCATCCCATCTCTTTTTGCAGTTTGAATATTGGTTTAATGTGGTGTGAATGGATGGGTAGGAGTTTGGCTTGAAATGGACCCAACTTTTAGTCCTTGCTGTCTCATGAATTAAGCTGAAACAAAGCCATAAATCAGATGTTCCTCCAGTAATAATTGCCTACCAAACTAAGTGTCAGTCTTTTTGTGAGATCAATCATGACCACAACAGCTATGCCTGTCACTCTCAGCTTCAATTTCTTTTTTCTTTGGAAAAAAATATTTTTAGCTCATAGAACATTTTGTACTGAATTTTGGTTTCAACTGCATTATCTCTGAATTAGAACCAGCTGCAAGGTTTCAAAGTGCCCCCTATGCTGAATTGGAGAAGACCAGATGCCTCATACATCTGGAAGGGAACAACTAGGCATGAATAATAACTGAATGAAAACCTGGACCTTTATCCAGATGGGGGAGTGTCTTTTTTCCCTACCAAGCAGACTTTTAAGTTTCTTAGTACCAAGTTTGCCAGCATGAGATGTTCACAATTATTTTTGTTCTGTGGTACATCCCAGATTGTGTTATCATCAGCTATTTGGCTGGATTGATTTAATTTCAGTAGGGGAATGAAAGAATAGTGGTTATCCATATGCTACAGTACTGGTTTGAATTTTGAATTTGGTTTGAATGGTTAGGAGTGTAATGCAAACTTGCAGGCTTCTGGAGTGTGCATGTGTGATATTGCATAAATGTCCTTGCATTATTTTGCTTGCTATGCGGGATTTTTACAAGGATTAAGATAATAGCTGAGGAAGTAGAAAAACCATGGTATAATGCAGAAAATTATATTGCACAGTTGTTTGGCATTTCAGCATGGATGGCAGTGGTTAATGTA